CAGGTATCTTTCAATGCACTCTGTAGAAGAGCTTCCAGTTACAGCAACAAGGTATGAAACTGAGTTGTGTTTATTAAAATGTATTTTATATACTCCATCTTTCCCATCACTTGTAATTATACCACACTTTATCTCAGGTCCCAGTTTTAGCTGCTGTAACATTACATGCAACTTACTGACAAAATTACTGAATAACATTGGGCCTACCATCACTTCCAGCAGTGAGAAAATTCAATTAGCCAATTCTTAACCAGTTCAACATGTGCACTTTCAATATTATATAGTGCTATTTTTTTTTTCAAAATATTTTGCATTACTTAATTAAATGTCTCAGAAAAGTTTTAAGAGTAGTTAATCTTTCCTATTACTCCTCAAACTTCTAAAGTAATCAGAGAAAATAAATTGTTTGAGAAGATTTATTTTTTAACTTTGGTATTGATTACATTCCTAGTCCTTAATTGGTTTTTAATTGAATACTGTATCAGTTTTCCATTATTTTACATAGGATTTCTCGTAGACTAACAGTCCACATCTACTTACATCAGTTACATTCCCTTCCAGGTTTTTGGCTTTTCTCCAGGGATCAAAGTTAATGGCTATCCAAATATTTTCTCAACAAAACCACCTGGTATTCCCAAGTTAATTCACCTGAGCCTGCTTTTTAAAAATATATTTTCCTTGGAGAGAAAATTTGTTTTATTTTAAAGTTCTTAATTACTAGTGGACTGGGAGTTGGTTTATTATTTTCACCTTCTAAAATTACATCCTCCTTCTTCCCAGATACCGAACACAAATATTTATTGAACACTTTTCCTTTTAATGTATTAATTATAACTATTTTATTAGCTGCAGCGGTAATAGTCTTATTCAAGGTTTAATATTTTTCCTTATGTTAAAAAAATCCTTTGTGTATCTAATTCAACCAGCTCACAGCTATTTTCCTGGTATCTTTATCTTCCCTTATTAATGCCTTTAATTGCTCTGCTATTTCAAGTAGATCATTTCCTCTCCCTTAGCATCTCCGGGACAAATGAAAGTGTTCTGTTACATGGCTAGCTGAGACTGCTTTCTGAGGTTAGCTGCCACTGAAACATCCCTTGTTCATCTTCCGAATATTTGAGATATGAAGTTAACATGAAGTTAAAAGTATCTCCCACATTTTTACAGCATTTACAGGAGCAAAATCAGCCCTGATCCTAACAGGCAGTGAAGAATGCATTAGAGCCATGTGGACACTGCTGTAGGCCTCAGTACAGAGAACACTGGAATTATTAAAGCTATCAAATGGACAAAACTCCCTCAGCTTTTCCAGCACCTTACTAAAAAAATATGCCTGACTGAACACAGGATGAAAACCTGAACACACTAACTAAATTCAGTGGATAATTTTTAATTAATATCAGGGTTTCCTCATGAATATGACATATCACGTCAGATTTCCACGTCACATTCCCTATAATCTAGCTGTTATATTTCCAAGTTGTAAACCTCACAGATGGTCTGTAAATTTTCATGAGTTTCCTGCTCAAATGTTTTTTCTCATCTTCCTGTCTTCTCCTCTTGTATCATATTGGGCTTCAGTTTTCTGCAGAAGTCAAACTATTTGTTGCTTTAGTTGTTTTTGCCAGATAGTTTTGAACAGTTTCTATGTTTAAACCCACAGATCTTTGTGTAATTTAAATGGGGTTATTTCTCTCTGCCTGGAATGGATTTCTGTCTCAAGATGCTCCTTCAGCTACTCATAGTTCACCTTCCATGTTCCAAACATTGCTTTAATCTCTTTTTATTGACTATATTTATTCTTATTTGTTTTGTGATGCATCCAAAAAAGCTTTCATATGATCTCTTAATTCCTTTTGGTAGTGGTCTCCAACCTGGCATTCACAGATGACAAACTGCCAGTGGGGATTCTTAACTATTGCTTACTCATAAGGAATTTGAAACCTACAGCTGAAGCCAACAGCAAGAGAGGAATCCAATACCATCACTCTATGTTCTTTGTTCAGCTTTGATGAAAGTTGGGATCACTGCTTGTAGAAAGCTTCCAAATACTCTTTTGGTTAGTGATGACCAATTCTACTTTCTGTCAGCTACTTATGCTATATTATCCATCTCTTTTTGATTTTCTCTGGAAATCTTGTCTTTAGCCATAGCAGCTAAGGAAGGTTTTGATTTTTGCATAGCTCACGAAGTATTCTGTTCTCATTGCATTTTAAGATAATATATGTTGATCTATTTGCTCTCTGATGTCGGAACCCTAATCTGTTTACTTAAATCTAGAAAAAACTCTGTGATTGAAGGTCATGAATTATCATTTACATTATGTAGACATGTGTAAAATGCTTATGATGATCCAAATTTGCCTGAGTCCATATGCAGACAAAAATGAAAGCAACAAAAGGAGCAACAGTACGTTGTGAGGACACATCAAGTTCTTTTGGTAAACTATGTTCAAGCTACACTACACAGATACTCTCAAAAGAGAAAGACAAAACAAACCTGCTTCTTTCCAACCTTTATGTTCCGTACAGATCAAATAAAATCTTTTGTGAGCTTAGCTAACTCTGCCTTCAGGTAGAAAACTTGAAAGGAAAGTGATAGAAACTTTACATGTTCCTAAAATAAATTGTATCTTTGGAAAATCTAAACTACTAAACTTCTAATTTTATTGCAAATGATCTGACATTCCTTTTCCGTTTCACAAACAATTGACTCTGCCCGCTAGAGTCAATCTTTGTTTAAATCTGGGGGCAATAGAAAACACAGAATTATTTCATAAATATTAATGCTTATTGCGTCTGCTAATGAATTAAAAAGAGGAAAAGCCTGGTCTTCATTTTGTTCCTCCAACTTTGCAAAGCAGTTGAATGATGTCAGCAATGGTGTAGCTCTGAATTAAAATCAATAAAGCAATTCATAAAGGAAAACTCAGTTTCTGATGGTTTTGTTATTCTTAAAATAATTATGATTTAACTTAGTTTTGAATAAATACAGTAAAATTTGAAAATTCTTATTTAGGAAACAGGAATATATGTACTGCAAGATCTGTAGCTGCTCAGTGGAATTAATGGTCTCCTCAGGATCAGTCCAGCAGGTTGCAGTTCTAGTTTGACCAAGGTTTCCAGGGCTTCCTAAGTCCTGACTTCACATGCAAGAGCCCAGAGGGCTATGACTCTGCTTGCTCCAAGAGGCACTCACTGCATTGTTGGGTATCAAGCAGATCTGCAGGAAACCTGCCTCAGGTTTTGCAAGACACCTGAAGGGCAAAGGTGTCTCAACAAATTATCACATTTTCACTTTTGCTAGAAGACATCTCATTAACTGCTCTCGTGAATGAGATGAGTAACTTGCATTAAGCTGCAATTTAGATTCACTTCAGTTTTAAGGAAAAAATATTTAATTTAAAAATACAATTGCTGATAAATATGTATGTAATGTACAAAACATGCAGATGAAAATTACTCAAAAATAGCATGAATTTATGTGAGAAATGTCATCAGGAACAATTTTTAAAACCACTTTTTAATCTTTCTGCAGAACTTTTTCAGTTTCTACACACCCACACAAAATAAGCAACCAAAAAATATAATATACATGCATAGATAATTCGTTGAATTAAATCAGGAAAATCAAAGCAGAACCAAAGTATTCTATGGAGAATTTATTATATAAAAATGCATTTTTAAATAATAAAAAAAAAAAATCAGTCCAGAACTCCTACTAGCTCTAACTCAGATGATCTTCATTGTCTTTTTACATTTGAAATTAATATCCACTATGGGATAGGTTCATAGCAGTGTCAAATTCAGAGAAAAGAAAGATGCCTGTGAGTCACTTTTCCATTCCCATGATCTAGTCTTTAGAAAGTGAAATGTTGCCAGCTTTTGTGGTAGAGTTTCTCAGAGGAACCACTTGGTTGTAGAGGGGACCTGCTGAATTATAGTGTGCACTGACTCCACTTAATTTTCAGCAATGAGGGAAAGGAAACCCCAATGCAGGTACAGTCAATCTGGCTTAGTCCTTCATTATAATTTTTGAAACAGCTTTAAATACTGTTGAGTGATTGGGCAAGACTACAGAAGCACTTCTCCCTCTTTGGCTCACAAATCCACACATTCTGTTGTTGCAAAGAGATCTATTACTGCAGTGAGACACTCAGGGACATCAACAGACAAAGCTAAACTAATTCATGACCTGACTCTGGAAGTCAGGTCTTCTGACCCAAGCCTGTGAAGGTACCAAAGAAGAACTCCTTATTTCAGGCATTGCAAGCTCTGCAGCTTTCACTGTGCCTTTTGAAAGTCTCACATGTATTTTTAATTTTAGCTGGAGCAAGGTTATTATTCAAGTTCATCCTCTTCCTCCAGAGCATGTAAATATGACCAAAGCTCAGCAGTGAAGTGTTAAATACTTCCTTCCTGTCAGATGAGGGCAGAAGTTGGAACAAGGTGACCTAAGAGCAGAGGCTTGAAGGTTAACCTTGTGGAAGGTGGGCGAATCCAGCCTTGAAAGTAAGTCCACTTCCAGGCTTATGCAGCATGAAAGACAGTCGGTGGTAGAGTCCGGAAGAGGGTCTGCACCTCAGCACAGCCGGTTGCAGAGAACCAGATATAAGCTAAATGGGACAGAGTGGGAAAATCTTGGTATGTTTCAACACTGTGCCTCTGAGTTACTCTAAGAGAAGGACAGGAAATGTGAACTTTTTATATATGAACCCTTGCTCAGGGCTGCATCTGGAGTTGCAATCTAGCTCTTAGAAGAGCAACTACGAAGTGTAGTAATGACTCCTGCCAGCATAATTACATAGCTCCAGTGTCACATCTTTCAAGAAGCAAAGTAATACAGAGGAACTGGGAACCTTAATGTGCAATATCATGTCATTGCTTCTTTAGGAATAAAGGGGTGAATAAATGAGGGTGAGATTGTATTTCAGACATACAGTATGTGCACAAAGGCTACTAGGTCCTGCAGGGAATCCCCAAAACAATTTTATTCTGTCTGAAAAGCTCAGGGGTCTGGTTAGACCTCAATGACATTTTCATTTTCCTGGTGGGAAAATAAAATATCCCCAGCAGCATAAACTCACACTCTTAATAAGTAACAGGCTTTTTAGAGCACAATATTATGTGATGACATTTTATGCAGAGATCTAACTCATAAACTCAGATAGCAAAGAATGATAAAGAAAATGACAAGCTAGATACAGAACACATTAATATATGGCAGCAGTAAAAATCACAAAGGACGGATTGGCCCCTTACACACAGGAGTAAGCATGGAAAAACTCTGTTGCCAACAGTAGGGATATGTCAGTTTAGTGCTGGTGGGAGATGAGATCTGAATCAAGCCTCAATAGCTCAAAACTTACTTGTCCATAAACACTATCATTTAATAGAAAAGCAAGGAACTATCAATATCTGAATAGCTGTAAACATATATTATTCAGCTGCTATGATCAATGCAGTCATTAGCAACTTAAGCCATTCTTGCTCTCAATGTAGAATCATTTCTCCTTGCTACACATCTGTCAGCTGGAGATCTAAAAGAGAGCTGGGTCAGAGCAGGTAGAAAGTGTTCAAAAAAATCTAAAACAAAAGTCTGTAAACATTTTAAACAAGAAAGCACTAGATTGCAATCCTCAGCTCAGGTCTATTTCTCTTCAGGCTAATACAGCTATGTGTTATACTTAAAATCAGTATGAGTGTGTGTGATGAAGATCTTAGTTGTGTAGTGAATGGCACATTTATGTTTCATCCCCTTGTATTGCTTTAAATTGCAAGAGTCTAGTTCGATTTGGGGACTAGCTGATTTCACATAGCTAAAACCCTAATACATATAGAGATGTGTGTGTTTATAGGTATGATATGCATACCACACATGTACATTTCAAATAAAATGTACTTCTAAGTAAACTCATATAACTTTGAAACTAACACAGGAAGTCATCTCAGCACCCCCTCACTTTGCACTCTGCTTAAAGTAGGACCAGTTTTGCAGCTTCCTACCTAAGATCTCTCTATATATAAATATATAATATCATATATGTATATTTGTATGTATATAGTAAAAATACAATGTACCGCCTTTAAAAGACAGTTCTGACCTGGATCTTGGAAATACAGCACTGAGACAGAGGACCAAAACGTGTAACTGGACTTGGAGGGAGAATTACATGTCAGCACAGCAATAGTGAGACACTACTTTCATTCACTGGTGATAGTAGAAGGAAACTCTCCTACTGCAATATTCCAATATCTCTCACCTGATGTTTTCACAATGACAATTAAATCTATAACTGGGAGAAGGTGCTGATTATTCTTAAACAATGGGATGAATACAGAAATTAGTTCATAAGTTTAGAAGTGGAGAAGGCAAAACAAGACTTCAATTGAAGTTTCTTTTGCACCAGAATACCTTCTTTGATCCACAGCTCCTCACCTTGTTCAAGCTATTCATCGAATGGGAGTAACAGAAAGGATCACACAACATCTGTCTGTTGGTCAGCATTACGTTTAAAGGAACAATACCCATTTAGGTCTAACTGAGAAGTCACTAGCATTTTTAAAGTCATCAACACCTCTCACCTTCTGCAAGTAACCCTGGAAGTAGCACTCAGATCTGAAGCTTTGATATGGAAACAAAATAAAAGTTTGAATTTCCGGTATTCATTTCACAGTGCCTATATCCTGTGAGCTGGGCAGACACGCTCTATCCCCCAACATAGCATAAAACAGATGGTTAGTTTTTCTACCTATTAGGTAACTTAGTCCAGGTTTTGGCTTCTCAGTTGAATATTTGCATTTCATTTGATGACATTTTAGTTTAATGTAGTACCAAAACCAACTATGTCTTTGAGTATTCTGCTGAATCCCAGCTTCAACTGCTGTTGCAATAATGCATTTGAGTGTAGCCTACCATGTAGTTATTGGATATGTGCTGGCGATACAGGAAATTCAGAACTGGTTACAGTCTTTAATAAAAGAGAGGCACAAATCTGGAGCTTGAGCTGTGTAGAAGTTCAACTATTTTGCTGTATACTTTCCAAGATTTATTCTCCTAATTTGATTTCCTCCTTTCTTTGCATTTTTAGTGACACCTTTTTAAGGGAATTTGCAGAGGGCTGTATTTTATTTCTTTTTATGTACAGTCATGATTCCAAGGGCATTTTTCAAAGAGCATTTCACACCCGTCTTGTGCTGCCTCTTCTCCAAATTTATGCACATTTATTCTCACCCCTGCACCACCCATTCTTTATGCTGTTATATACATGTTATATAGATGTTTTTGGAGGCTGGCAGAAAACCAGTCTAAGACACTTATCCATGTTAAAAATACTCTTCCCAATTTTTTTTTTTTTTTTTAGTCTTAGCTTTATCTTCAGTCAATTCCATGATTCCATTCTCTGCCTCATCCCATACAAAGCTGCTGTGGCACAGCTAAAGAGGAGGTGTGGGAACAGGAACACAAGGTAGTTGAGGACAGAAACTACTGTTGTTAGCACTACTTTCCATGGACATGTCCATAAATGCATTCCTGGGAGAAAGCCCCTTCTCTTCCCTGTTTCTGAAGGTTGGTTCTGACCAGAACGGAATGATTAGGGGTAGACTTGCAATTGACTGAGATGAGAGGTTCAAGGTCAGGCCCAGATCTGACTTTAAGTTTACAACACATCAGGAAATTGAGGATGTGAATGTGATTGCAACAGAAGTAAATCAATTGACAGAGTGGTGGGGAGAACCCATTCATCATCCATGGAAGGCAGGTGATCCACGGAGCAGGCAGAACAGGAATGCTTACCCTGAAGGATTTATGGTGCCTGCTAGACTTTGGCCTGGAGATGGTAGAACTAGCTCAGGCATTAGAGAAAAGTTTTTTTATACCATTATTTGTTCCTGTCGCCCAAGGACATCAAGGGAAAGATTGGCAAACAATCAGGAGAGGCTTTTGACAGGCAAAAAGACAGATGATTGTTGGAGAGGCCTAATATGGATATTCTTTGCAATAAACTTAAAATAAACCACAAAAGAAGAATAGTCTAGATAAATTCAGACAACCTGGAATGGCCACATATTCTCACTGTATACACCCATCAACTTTTGATTTGTTTCACATATAATTAAGAAGTGTTTTAAATACATTGTAGCTTTTTCGAGAGGTGAAATTAAAGATGCTCCCAATTTCCTTATTAAGCCACCACAAATTCCTCTGCCCTAAATGATAATGCATGCAGTGTTTACAATACCAGAAGGCTCAAAGTGCATGCAAGGAAAGAGATGGGAAAATATATACTGAGTGTTTTGCAAAATGACTCATAAATAAATTATTCTGATTGAATTGTTGTGACTTGAATGTTTAATCCTTCCATCTATTTTCATTTGGGAAAAATTCTTGAGCGAGCAATCCGTGGGTGAGAATATCAAGGTTTGAGTCTAGGGATGCTGAGATTTTCTTACCTCACTCAGACTGTTAAAAAAGTAATTATTTGTTGCAGGTTTGGCTGGACTCATTGCATATATCTGTTCAGAACTGTCTTTTTTACAACTAAAGACGTCATGCATTTCTTATGCTGGTGTGATAGTGGTGCAAATGCAGTGTTTGTAAGGGAGTGATTTCTGGGCTGTGTCACTCTAAGTAAGACCTCACTTCATCTCAGATTTTGCTCAAGAATTCTTCAAGTTTTTTGCAATTATTTTTTACAAAAACAAAAAACAAAAAACAAACAAACAAAAAAAACCAAACCAAAACAAAACAAAAAAAAGGAATACAGGAATACACTAGAAGCCTAGTGGCTTGTTTTCATCTTTTGAATAACAACAAATGCATTCTCCTATGTTACCTACAAAACTGCAACATAACAGTCAAACCTTTTTTATTTATATCAAAACATTATAAGCATGCCTTCCATTCTGTTGTTGATGTCACTGGTGTGATTGTATGTAGGGAATTTACACTCCTTTGGATGAAAAAAGCCCCTGAAGTCCTGTAAGTTACAGATGTATGATGTTGCAGCTATCTCATTTAGTTTCAATGTTGGATTATGTGTATAAACCTCAAGGGCCAGGTTTGTAGCCCTAAGCAGACTTTATATACGTATGACCTGGCATGCAGAGATTTGGCTGACCTATGCAGAAGATAAAACACCAATAAGCAGTATGTACACGTATGTGTTCGTGCACATGTTATATACAAAGAGAGGATAATATGAATCTTTCTTTGTAACAAGCTAAACAAATTCATTTAACAGTGTATTCAACCTTTTAAAACATATTCTACTTCTAAACTGAGGGAAAAATGTTATATTTGGCCCTACAGCTCTCATCCCACTGGACTTCTATTAGCAGAACCATTGCAGTACTCAGGTGAAAAAGCTTCAGAATAAAGTCTTTATCTGGTAGCACTTCCTCTATCAAAAACCTCCTTACCCACTGAACAGGTTATGGGAAAAATGAGTTCTCAGTTCTACCAATTACTTCTGCCACATTTGTCTTCTATTCATTCTCTTTCTAAAATAGTGGTGATTTCAGATGACACCAGCATGCACTTCTTAGGACAACTGCATTCTGTCCTGCCGCACGGATCTCAGAGTCCTTAAATAACACAGAATAAATAGACATCTCTGCTGTAATCTGCAGACAAGAGTCCTGGGAATACACCACAAGGTGGACATATTAAAGTATTCATACAGTTTATAAAGCCAGTATTAGGTAGAGAGGGAAATTAAGAGGTACAAGCAAAGGAGAAAGGATATTTGAAAAATGGGATTTGGAAAATATTGCGACTAAATGGAGTAATGTTGCTTGAAGTACCATATTTTGTTTAATCTACTGAACACATTCTCCTTCTGGAACTGCTGTGAAAATGTGTGCACGTGGATGCTCACACACACACACTTCAGTGTGTGTGCACAAATACACAGCAGTACATACAAATACTTCACAAATATAAATACACGTGCACGTGGAAAGTGAAAGTAAACTGAAACCCCATCACCAAACCATAAAATGTCAGAGATATTACATAAAATTAATGGTCCGTGTGCTGAAGCCCTCACCCCTGCAAAAGGAGTTTTAACTAAATAAGAATATCACAGTTTCCTGTCAACTGCATAATGCTGGTACTTGAAAAGCAAATGGAAAATCCTGATAGAAGGGTATAGAGAAGGCTAGAGTGTCTTTTCAAAGTATTTTATTTATGGATAGGAAAACTAAATACCTCAAAATCTTCAGCATGCTCATCTTCTCAATAACTTCTGACAAAAAGGGGTGCAGGTTCACGACATCCAAACAAAAGAAGCAGCAGAGACCATATCCAGGTCTAAATTTATTACCTAAGTCAAGTTTCAGGTCATCTACAAGTCACCAAAGCCTGTAAGCAGTGTCTCCTAATCAAATCAATTCAGCTGAGCTTTCAGGTATGAAGCTTGTTTTCCCTCCACACTCCATCTTTCAAACTTAACGTCATGCTTCAAAGTTTCAAGAAAAGGAATTCTGCCCACAGCAATTTTGGGTGAACAATCCCATAACACCTCTCTGACTTCCAGAGCACAGGTCTCCTCCTCTAGTTGTCCCTAAGCACAGACAGTCCCAGAAGGACAAAAAACACATCTGCAAATCAATTCTTAGAAAGACTTCCCATTTTACACATTCCGACAGATCCTGGATACATCCTAATGCGCTCGAGAAATGAGTAACTGAAGATGGGCAGGGACTGACTGATATGATGGCATGGTGAAAGTATAGCTGAAATGAGCACTGCTATTTGATTCACTTTTTAATAAGGCCCTGTTGGCTGAAAGCAGTGCACCACTTCTAGCTATTTCAGATGCTTTATATAATCTTTGTAACCGAGGACAGTGAAGGGACACAATATTCCACCCAGATATCTATTTTGGCCTGAATAGCCTAAAGCCAGATTACCTACCTATGCTTCTTAATTACATTTCATACTGAACAGATATTCTTTTTTTCACCCCCATATTGCTCTCTCACTGCTAGCACAGACAGAACAAGCAAGAAAATAAAGGTTTCATTATGACTCTTTCTAAGTCACAACTAAATGTACTGATTCCTGGGACTCCAGGGGCAGCTGGTGATGCCTCTTCATCAGGGTATCTCGTAGCATTACTGTCTAGCCCAATAACAGGCTCATATTAAAAACTCTCATTGGTTTAGTAAGCTAGATATAACATAGCAATCATTTTTACCATATAGCTGTTTGGTGTTCCACAAAAACTGGCTGTAAAAACCTACACTGCTTAGATAACTGGCTATCAGTTTTGACCTTCAGAGGTGAGGTTATAGAAAACTGTATAAATATTAAAATTAGAGGTGAGGCTGAACTGCAAAGTTCATACTCAGATCTCATATCAAACTTGCCCAACACCTCAGTGCATTGGGAATGACTGATTTGATTTGGGACCATCTCTAATTAAAAAAATATATGTATCTAATAATCTCACATCATTCCCACTGCTATTTTTGCTATGTACCTTGCCCTAGGTCTCTCTCACTTATTTCAGAAGCCTGAGTCATACATTTGGGCTTTGGAGAATTGAGACTTACAGTACGGGTAACTCTAGCTCATAATGAATATATAGTATCCTTAGGAGGGTCCGTGCACAAGCAAAGAGCGAGAGAGAAGAAAAGTACAGCTGCAGTGAGAATCTACACAAAAGCTGGCAGACAAAAAATACAGCTGAAGTGAACAACTCTCTCTGTAGCTGGGAGGCAGGGAAAATGCAACCAAGATGTGCTGGTGGATAAGCAGTGGAAGAAACAACAATAAGATGGAAAGGGACATCAGAGAGATATGAAGGAGGTGACAAATTTATTCAAGAAAACAGTAAAGAGCGTTACCTATTTCTACCCATAAGAATTTGCTGTGGGCCCATCACTTTGAATCTGTGTGCTTCTCCCCACCCTTTGAATCAAGAACTACCTCCCTCACCATGGGCCCACAGCAGGGCTCTGACTTCTTGTGGGCCTGCAATGTTTTGATAACACTGAGTAAAAAATAAAGAAATTCTGGCATATACAATGCAAGTCCAGAGTTATGATCCAAAGTGATAGCACAGAATAACACCATTTTAGTCAGTGGAAGGACAGTTAGGGAGCTAAACCATCACATAATGTAAAACCCCATGAGCATGAAATCAATTGAGTTCATTAGAAAAATCGTGTTTCACCAGTCTTTTCTGATGATAAATTATCTGCTGCCTGTCAATAGCCAGAGACCAAGCTGGATAACAGAATCCATGACAGAGTAATTTTTCTTATCACCTGACAGTTCATCTAGATTTGAGGAAACAATTCCAATAATATGTGGATCTTCATACATACTGAAATATTCAGTTAAGGGTTTCAATCTTTAGCCATCATGGAGAATTCTTTTCTTTTCTACCCAACAGCCAATAGTTACATTTATATCACATGAGACAGAATATCAAAATCAGTCTAGCTTAAAATTATAAGATTCACAGTTAGGATTACCACAAACCAGACTCTTCCCTGATCAAAAAAAATCCATTTATTTAACAGAACAGGTTCACACCATTTCAGGATCTTCACTGGTGATTATTTTTATGTTACTTGAAAAGCTGAAAATATCACTGAAAACATTCTCAGAAAGGATGCTTTGGTGTCTTCAGGAAAAGACAATTTATGTTAGAGGAGACTGAATTGGTCAGAAAATTGATTTATTTTTCCTACAATGTTGAAATTATTTTTTCACGTTTCCCATAGTACAGTGATTTTTTTGTATAAACTATCCCAAAAGGATTTCAGTCTTCTAAGAGAAAAGTAAAACTTCTTAAATGGAATATGTGCATTCTGAAAACACATCATATTTTTTAAAAAACTTCTTCCCCTTAAAAAAGTTTATAAGAATTTTTCAAACCAATCCTACTACTATGTAAAAGAGCTAGTAGTTGGTAGCTTCTTAGAGTTTTTTCTATAAACATTGCAGTATGTAAATGATCAAAAAGAATTGTAAGAGGGAGGCAATTCATGATTAGCTTACTGTAACACAAATTGATGATAGATGAAAGAAGGAAGAAGTATGGTATAAGTAATAGGGGCCATAAAAAGAGTAAAAAATAATAATAAATAAAGACACTGAATTTCAGCAGAGATAATTTGTGTAGACATGGAAGAAGTGTTCACTGAAATCAGTGGAATGAGGCAATAGAGGTAAAGGACACAGAGGAAAAATGGAAACTGTTCCTCTGTAAATTAAAGTATACCCAATAGGC